GCCTCACCCCACCATTTCTTAGATAGTTCCGCAGTCTCTAACATGACGTTAACCAACTCAGTTAGAGTGCAGTTCTTTCTCTCGGTAATCCCATTTGATTGTGGTGAGTATGGCGGTGTCCTCTCATTAACAATACCATGCTTCGCGCAGAACTCAGAAAACTCATTTGAGAAATATTCTCCCCCGTGATCAGACTGCAACCATTTAATTTTCTTCTCAAGTTGGTTTTCTACCTTAACTTTATAGATCTTAAAATAATTCAATGCTTCATCTTTTGATTTTAACAGATACACGTAGCAAAATCAAGTGCAATCATCTATAAATGTCATGAAATATCTTTTGTCACATTTGGTCAACTCGCCATTCATTTCACACAAATCGAAATGGATTAGTTCTAATGGTGCCAAGTCCCTCGTCTCAGCAGCCTTGTAAGGCTTGTGAGGTTGCTTTGATTGCACACATACATGACATTTAGAGCCTTTGACCAAATCAAATTTCAGGATTAAATTCAAACCATCTAAGCGAGTAATGCAACCAAAATTTATATGACAAAGATGTGAATGACAAACATTATATTCAACATCACAGCTCACATTGTTTACGGACTTAACACATGTGTTAGTTAAGAACAAGCGGAACAAGCCTCCTCTCTCATAGCCTTTACCCACAAAGGTTTCATACTTAGAAAGTATGCACTTATTAAATTCAAACATAAGTTTATAGCCATCTCGACACAGTAATGAACCACTAATTAAAATTTTCCTTATTGAGCGGACATGCCGCACGTTCTTTAGTTGCACGGTCTTCCCCGAAGTAAGCTTTAGATCAACCGTACCAACACCACGAACAACCGCACGCGCTCCATTCCCCATCAATAAGGAGGAACTTTCTCCCGACCTGATAAGAAGAAAACAAAGAAATATCAGTACACACATGGATATTAGCTCCTGTGTCAACCCACCAATGAGGTGAATCACAAACTGAAAGAATTGTAGGTAATAAATTACCATACCCCGATATTCCTTGATCAGCCTCAACCATGTTTGTAGATTTCTTTTTGGCTTCCACTTGCTCTCCTCGCAGTCCCTAGCATAATGCCCGGGTTTGCCATGAGTGAAGCAATTTTCCTTTTCCTTGTTCTTCTTCTTCTTCTTAAAAGGTGCAGTGGTATTTTGTTTGAGCTTTTGCTTGAATTTTTTCTTGTGGGAATTTTGAAGATTTTTCTACACCACATGGGCACTAGAACTTCCCTCAACAATTTTCTTACGGCGGACATCCTCAGCTCTCGCCTTCTCTTCAACATCCAAAGAGCCAATGAGGTCGGTAATGCCGAACTCTTATCTCTTATGTTTCATAGAAGTAGCAAAGTCTGTCCAAGCCTGTGGCAGCTTAGCAATAGTGCAACCTGCCACAAACTTATCCGGCAGCACCGTACCAAAATTCTCGAGTTATTTTGTCAGTGTTTGTATCTCATGAGCTTGTTCAACCACAGAACGGTCATCAACCATCCTGTAGTCATGAAACTGCTCCGTGACATACAAGTATACAACTCACTACTAGCATCAGACACTCCATATTTGGCCTCAAGTGCATCCCACATCTATTTACCAGTTTGCAGAGTCACATATGCATCTACTATGGAGTCTCCTAGCACGCTGATTATTGCCCCCTGGAACGTAGTATCAGCGTCTTGGAACGCACGCTCCTCATCAGGAGTATGCGGTCCAACTGATCTAGGTTTAGCAACAAAGTAGCAGTGCATAGCAGTCAACCATAAAATGCATATATGATGTTACCTCTTGTAATGTGTGCCCTAAAAAACATTTGGTTTCAACATACCCTCAAAGCCGACTACCGAAAAATGTCCATCAGGTTTTTGGATTGTTAGAAATTAGGCAATTTCAGTACCAGTTTAACCCAGAAAAATATTATCAAAATATTGGTGACATGTGCACGTGCGGTTGAAGTGTCAAGAACATGTAGACGATACTAATTATCATGATTTTAATCGCTGAAAATAGGGGATGAACTACAACATACCCCGCGGCACCAGAGCCGGTTGCGCTAGCCGACATAGCGCCTGTTGGAGTAGTCGTCCCGCTCGACACAGTACAGGGAGGTTGCTGTGCGATCTCCCGCTGCCGCCACGAACGCCGGGAAGAAGATGAGGTTGTTGTACGATCGAGCGGTTGCGTAGTCGCTCCCCAAAAACCTGATTGTCGGTCTTCACCCGAGCAGATGAACTCGCGAACGGCGGTTTCGGAGGCCTGCTCTCCCTATTCCCGTGCTGGCAGGAACCAGGACAGGAAGACTTGGCCGTAGCGGAAACGTGGATGTAGAGCGCACGTAAGAGAGACAAGAGACTAAATGTTGTCTTCCTTTTATCTTGTAGCCAAGGAGCAGAGCGGGCACAGCCATCCGCAGGAGATCAAGAGTCAGAAACGGAAGAGACGCTCACAGAAGAAACTCCCGTCATCATGAGTAGAAACTCCCGTAACTCTCGCCATTAGGAGTAGAAACTCCCGTAACTCCTGCCGTGCCATTAGGAGTAGAAACTCTTGTAACTCCCTCATTTAGAATAGAAACTCCTGTAACTCCCTTATTTAGAATAGAAACTTCTGCCATAATTGGCTTGAATGACAAAACCAATTCATGCACCGCATGCTCCGGTGGCTCATTCTTTTCTCAACTTCTCAATGTAGACAGACATGATCCGCACATATAAGTTGAGTCAACATTCAATAAAAAAATCTCGTATATGACTAAATCATATAGCGCACAATATTTAATACAGGCCTTAAAATTATTCGATTTAATTAGATAAAATATTGGGCTTGGCCCACATTAAATCTAATTCACCTTTGCAGTCTCTTAGGGAAGTGCTTCTTAGAGGGGTTGTTCATACCCAACTCCACTGTGCTCACCTCTGTCATGTTCTACGGTACCTTCGTGGCACTATGTCTCGTTGACTTTTATTTCCTCGTTCTAGCTCCCTCCAGCTCTAGGCGTACTTTGATGCAACCTAGGCTGGCTTATTGACAGAACTACTGCGATCTGTATTGATTGGGACCCCGTGAAACATGAACTCATTGAGCACATTGGAGTTGATGCTTCCCACGTGAGATCGCAAGTGCAAGATCATGTTGTGATTTTTCATTATGTGCCTTCAAAGGTCAAGATAGCTAATTTCTTCACGAAGGCACATAAGTGAGCACGTCATAGCCTTTTCCTTTCCAAACTCAGTGGCGTAGACCCATCGTGAATTTGATGGGGTTGTTAGATGTATGCATGGTTGTGTATGTGCACATGTATTTTCGCATCTAGTTGGAGTGGCTTTCTGTATATGTAACACTTGTACATAAACCCCTTTGGGCCTGTGAACTCACTCGAGTTGCATTTCATAAGAGCACACGTCACCATCAGCCTACACCCGATTCAGACCACAATCACAGGGTTTTGGTACACATGGAAAGTATGAAATGATTGGGGAGTAATTAAATATCAAAAGGAGAACAGTCATGAAGTAAAGCTGATATCTGTACAGCAAATACCCTTGCTTTTGCAGATGATGAACAGGTCGAGCAACATAGCCAAACCCTGAATGCAAGCCTAAGAACACATCAACATCCCACTGCGCAAAGCCAACAGGACCAGGCTGGTGAATCCGGAGCCAGCACAGCTCCAACACAATGTTACACACATGCTTCTATTCTACCTGATGAACCAGCTGCATCACCAAGAAGGGCAGAGCTAGGTATATTTTTCACCACCACTCAAATCATCTCAAAACTGATATTCGCATACAGGCTGCAGCTCAAGACACTAAGTTTCTTCTGTTCGAAGCACAAGCTCTTTGCCTGGCGACAAAAGTATTACCATGCTTGCAATTTTAGAACACCGGTCTTCTCACAGACAACCAGATTCTGGTTGATGCTGTAAACAACCTGGGTCAAGATTTCCATATTCCTTGGAGACTCAAGCCTCTTCTGACTGATTTCTTGCAAATTGCAGAGTCCACACATCTCTGTAAGCAAAATCAGTAGAACCAAAAACAGGTTAGCTCATAGGGTATCGTGGCGCCTCAAGCTAGAACCTGTGCTAGTGCTCAAATTTTTACATGCTCTAAGAGACATCACAACTCCAGCTGTCCAGTGCTTCAGGCGTTATGTCTGATCATCTGGATCTCTTTCATTTACTATGTTGTTAATTTTAGTACGTGTCCTTATTAAAAAAAGAATATTAAGTGAGCATAATGAACAACAGGTGCTCTACCTTGATTCCTCAATCTTGGAGAAGCAAAGCACAAAGCGTTGCATCTGCTTCCAAAACTCTTAATACAGCAATACATCATAAGCACTAAAAATAGTCAACAAGACTCTTGGTTGTTTCATGTTTTGCTGCAATAAGTCTTTCGACTAGATAGAACGGAAAGTGCTAATAATCTGTCACCCACAAGCCGCAGCTTAAGTGACCATGAGTCCAGCATAGGGTATCAACGCAGGTCATCCTTTGCCACAGACACTATTTTGGTTGAATGAACTAACTGAAAAACAGGTTATGAGCAGAATACTTCCAAAACTGAAGGATACAACATTACATGTAAGTACATAACTCCAGAGCCGAATATCATTAATTCTCAGATCACAGATTGTATTTTACAAGTTTATGTACGACAAAGAGTTACATGAAGAAATCAAAGGCACATCTAACCTTCAACAGCTATTAGCTGCTGGTACAACCATACAAGTTAAATAATGAGACCTATACCATGCAAGGTAGCAAAAAAGAATCAGCAGAGCTGAATGATTACCCAATTCCAAGCATCCTATCTAATACAAAGCACAATTGTGACATATCTGAGCATTCTGTTGGACCCTTCCTGCAGAATGCCTTGATCACATTAGCAAAAATCCTACAATCTAAAACCAGTCCTTTTATTTGGATATCATCAAACAGCCTCAATGCCTCACGTATATTTCCACTCCTAACCAACCAATACGTCAAATGGCAACGGGCTCCGCAGGGTAGCCACCATTGATATGCCTAACAAAATTGGCAGCCTGCGACCTCCTCCCAGACCTAAAGAGACAATCAACCAGTGTATTGTATGCGATGGTATCTGGGGCAATCTTCCCAGCATTCACATCAGCGAACAAAAAACCAAGCTCACCTTCCTTTCCGTCCTCATAGAACTCATGGAACAGAATGTTACAAGTCACAGTGTCTGGCACGAACCCCTTGCTGCTGAACACATATTTGGCACACTGAAACTTGCCAGCTCGGCATAGGCATGAAATCAAAATGTTGTATGTCTGCACATTGGGTGTTATTGGTTTCTTGAGCAGATCCGTGAACAACTTTAGGACATGCAGCCACTTCCCTTTCTTGCAGAAATGATCCATGACTGTGTTGTATGTCACGACATCGACCACAAAGCCCAGCTCTTGGCACCGCTCCAGGACCTCCTTGCCTACCCACATATCAAGATTCTGGGCAACGTGGTCTAATTCTCTTATAATCCGTACTTTTTAGCTTATTTTTTCAGCCGGAACAGTGTTTTTCTCTCGCAACAAATCAGCCGGAACAGTGTTTTGCTTGTTTTTTCAGCGAAGCGAACGGGGCCTTTCCAGCTGCCGAAATGCTTCCTCAATGTATCCAGAGCGGCAAAGCCCAACAATGTAGGTGCTGTATGTCACTGCATCTGGTTCCCACCCACTCCGGTCACTCTCATAAATAACCCTCTCGACAACGTCAAAACCCCCAATCTTACACAACCCCTCGATGTATATATTGTAGATGACGACATCAGGGAGGCAACCAGAGGAACGCATGGAGCTTATGAGTTCGTCAGCTGCCTGGATGTCGGCATTATCGAAGACTGCCTTGAGGATCGGCGCGAATGTATGTGGTGTCAGTGGGTGATTGAAGGCGCGCATTTCGTCGAGCAGCTGGAGGGCGTTGTCGAGGCGGCCGGCGCGGCAGAAGGAGAATATGAGATCGGTGTAGTCGATGGGGGTCGGCGGGAGGCCGAGTCCGGTCATCCAGAGGAGAACGGAGTGCGCGGCGGCGGGAAGGTGGAGGTGGGAGGAGTAGACGTGGAGGAGGAGGGAGAAGGCGGCGCGGTCGGGGGCGACGCCGTTGGCGAGCATGTCGTCGAAGAGGGACGCGGCGTCGGCGGGGCGGCCGGCCTTGGCGAGCGCCGACATGGCCGAGGTGTAGGAGGCGGCGGTGGGCGCGCACGCGGGCGATGAGAGGCGTATGTGGCGGAGCACGCGGAGCGCCGCGTCGCCGTCGCCGTCCCGCGCGAGCGCCGCCAGGAGGCGGTTGTAGTCGTGGAGGGTGTGCGACGACGTCGGTGCGACGGCGGCGGCGTCTGGGGCCGCCGTGGTGGAGTGCGGGCGGTGCGCGCGGGGGAGGAGACCGCCGAGCTTTCGCAAGGCCGCGCGCACCGCGGCGGACACCGGGGCGGAGGTGGCTGCGGCTGCGGCCGGCCATGTGCCGGCGGGCATAGAGGATGGCGGAGGCAGAGAAGAAACGAATTGGGAAAATTGGCTATATACCGTTAAAAGATGTCAACTCCAGGAATCTCTTACAATTAAAAAGAACAAAAGTAAAACTATTTTTTCATGTGACTTTTTTTTTGTCGTCTTCGCTCCGCCTCCCCTGCGATACCCGCCTCCCGTCCTCGTGCAAGTCGCTAAAACGCTACAATCACCGCCCCCACCCACCGTGCGTGCGACCCGCTAGAGCTCCCTATCCCTATCCCCGCACCACTGTCGTGATATCTCCTCCCTACCGATCCCATTGCACCCCTGCGATCCCATCACGCCGCGATCGCCCGCCGGCCTCGCTCCTCCGCCGTCGTCGTCGCCCAGCAGCCTCGCCGCGGCCTCCCTCGCCAAGCCCCCGGTGACCCAGTCAGCCAAGGCATCGACGGTTCCAGACGTCGTCCCCCTGCCGCCTCCCCTCCCACGCCGAGGATGGATCCAGATGAGGCAGCCTGGCCGGTGAGCAGACCGTCGACCGTCGCCCTCGGCTGATCCGGCGACAAGGCGGACCGGATAGGGTGGAGGCGCTCGCCCTCGGTGGATCCGACGAGGAGGCATCCTAACCCAGGTGAGAGCACACGGCACAGCGGCCACCCTCATTCTCTGTGACAGAACCGCCCAATTTATACAAGATCAAGTACGGTTGTCCCCGCTAACACGTTGACACACCCATACTTTCACTCATATAAACCCGGTAGTCCGCCGAGTGTCCCGAAAGACCTCGGTAAATCAACATCACAACCAAGATCGCGTGATTAAGCAAATACACATCACATACATTGGGTTGCAGCGGAAATAATATTACAAAGGAGTTAACAATTAGTAGTACAAGTTTGGGGTTTCAAAACCGCTTAGTGAAAACAACATAGCTTTCAAATGATTACATTAATATAAGTTCCAAATATATTGCTAGCATAGTGACATCATCCGACAAAAGCATATAGATGAGAAGTAAATATAGAATCACCGAGCCCACCGGTGGTTAGCCACCATCATCAACAGGTCGAGAATATTACACGCAACAAGGTGGGATAAAACCACGAGTACTCGAATGTACTCAAATGAGACTTACCCGTCAGAAACCGTAAATAAAGTGACACCAAGGATTATGCAAGGCTTTCTTTAGTGGGCTAGTCCGACTTATTTGCGTAAAAGCATAAGCTATCATGAAGAAACCATTTTAAGTACTTTGCATCATCTTTATTATGACCTATCCATCTAGGTAAGCACCGTACTATAGCAATCACTTGATTAACCAATAACATCCAGCTACCAATTTAGATTTAGCATATCCCATACCATCCAGATAACCATCATTGTTCCATAATAATTACTACGATACAAGAATCGAGTCAAGTGCTCACTATCCAGAGCGATGGCGATTCGAATCGATTCCTAACCACCGGGTGATTTATTCCTTACACAAACCTCACTCACCCGCTAAAGTGAGATATTGATCACCGAGTCAACTTTCCAGGAATCTCGAGTTTGCCAGAACCACATGTACCGGGGGCCGACCGATCGCACTTTGGTCTTATCATCTTGCCCCCGTGTCCTACCACACTGCCCGCCAAGCACGGTCGTCATGCGGACAATCTACTCGGCCGAAAAATCTCCCACCATCAGCGGTCGGAAGGTACTTTATCCGGCCAAATAAAATGTAAGGCATGCGTTCAACATGACTCGAGGCCCAACAACGGTCGGTCCTTAATCGACACAGACGGAAACTAACAGCACCCTAGAACCCTGTCTGGTTGCCTCCAACTTTTTCCGTCCGGTCTCCAATTATCCATCACACATGGTTAATTCCAGGATATCATTCTTTCCATAGCTAAATTCTTCCAGTAATCACCTATAATGTAGGTGACCGGATATCTCCGATCGCTACCGGTCTAAGCAAGGCTAAGCAGTTATTCGATCCTGACCTAACAGGGTAAAAATGTAATAAGGTAGGCAAGGATAGTAATAAATGCATCAACGGTTTCAATCAACTCCTACAACTTAATGCAACAATATATAACTCGTATATAGAAAGAATTGCTTTTATAATTAGGAGACTTATAATGCTCCGGGGCTTGCCTGGGATCCGCCACAAGTCAGTTCAGTTAGCTTGCACCGTCCTAGTGACATCATAGGTCCTAACACTTGCTTAGTCCTTCCATCTTCGGGATAGATCCTCCATACACCGTCTTTGGGTTCGGCTCCAACATCACGTCCTTCACGTGGTTCATCTAGCGTACCTAGATGAGATGCAATATGCAAGTGCATAAATATGAAGAATAGTACCATGAGACACATCACAAAATAGCAAGCAAGACAAGCATAGTTTACACTAACACACTTAAGTACTTTGCGATGCTTAACTTAAACATCACACAATCTATCATGCTAAGATGGCAAAGAAGACGACAACACCAATCATGACACAAGTTTCCCTAGATCTCAAGTGCTCTAACTCAGTCATCATTCAAGGCATACGTCACACTTAACAATATACAAGCAAGCACTATAATTGGAATCTGCCAATTTCTGGACATGCAAACAGCAGCTCCAAGGTTTAGCTATAACTGGAGTTACACAAATCCAAATGACTTGCAAGAAGACATCATGAAAAGCTTATGAAATTTTCTACAATTCATCTTTACTCATCTTAGCATGATTCTCAAGTTAACTAAGTCAAATATATCCATTTACAAAAACTGGTCCACAATTGACAGAAAACAGCCATTTCTGAAACCCAACTTTAAACAGTTGTAACTCTTAAACTACTTGGCCAAATGACACCAAATTTTAATAGAAGCTAGATACATGAATTATCTACAACTTTTGTATAAACAAGTTTCACAACAAAGCACATTATCATGAAGAACTTTGCTAAGTTCCCAGATCTGTCCATAAACCACATCGACAAGAAAATAATTATTAACTTATGTTGCAAATACATAATTGGGCAAAACCAACTTTACCAACATTTCGCACATGACTAAAGAACACCAGAAAACCTAGTGTTCATGACCAAATAAATTCTTTTAATGCATTTCTTAATTTATTTTAGATAACAAGGTGACTTAATGAACATATACCAAAAGTGCACAATAACTTCTACAAAAATTGCAGTGGCTCACATATCCTCTCAATAGTCTACTGTATAAATTTCACTCCATTTGGATATGTATAGCAACCTCTATGAAAAAGACAAGTTGCTAAAATAAGAATTCATGTGAGAGCAAGATAAACCAATAACTCACTCATACTTCATCCAATACTCATGAAATTTTTACCACACATCAACTATCACATGAGTAGCATGCCACAAAAATTTCAATTCATTTGGAGCCCTAGATCTATAGTTATGAAAAATAACAAATTCAACTAGCATTACAACCTTACTGCACAAATCTATTTTTACCGCAAAATATTTAAACTAAAACATGCCATATTATAGATCCACTGCATAGACAATTTCACAAGGATTCCAAAAAGTCCTCATTTACTATTTTACGAATTTTCTACGATTTATTATGAATTTCCAAAGTTCCTGCAAAATAATTACAAACCAGTCCTTATGGCACTATTCACCTGAGTCTATGACATTGCAGTTACACCCCTTCCTTTAGTCGAATTGCTGCGCGAGGTCCCTGGTCGGAAAAAAAGCAGAGCAGAGGATGGCGGAGCTTCTTTATTCTGACCGGAGAAGGTACGTCGTCGGCGTAGAATTGGCGGGGAGAACCGGGGGTCCACGCGCACTCACCGGTTCCGTCTGTCATTTCGGCCGAGGCGGCTTGTGGCGGCACGACCACGCCATGATGTCGGCTTCGGTCGCCCGGGCCCCGTGATGGTGGCGCTCCGACGACAGATGGCCAAGGAGACACGAGCACGAGATGCACGAGGTCAAGGCGGCGGCTGCTGGTAGTCCTTACGAGGAGTGGAGGCGTGGAGAAGTGAACGCAGATGATCATGAGAGCTTCGCGGCGGCGTCCATGGTGGGCGAGCTCAAGCGCGCGCCAGAGCGCGAGCGAGAGAGAGCGAAGGGGCGGTGAGGATGGGGCAGCTCTAGCGCTCGATTGAAGGAGCAGAGGCGCGACAGAGAGGCAGGCACGCACGCAGCAGCGGCGCGCCTTGCTGCTCGTGCGTGCATGGCACCACGCGCCAAAGCACGCGGCGTCCTCTTCAGGCGTTCAGCGAACACTTGGCGGGCGGCGGAGTGGCCGGCGTGGAGAGCGGGTTGGGCCAGATCTGGGCCGATTTAGACCTCGGGCCCAAAACAAAGTTTGAATCCCGCGAGCTGCTCTACATTTTTCATTTAGAGACCAAGGTCATTAGAGCTCTTCAACAGCGGGTAATTAGGCCACAAACTGTCAGTGTCAGCGCCTTGATAACGGTCACGGAAATTCACTTTCGGAAGTCAAAACTCGGTCAAACTCAGTGCAACTTTTTGCATGCTCTTCTCCATAATATAACCTTCAACTTTTATATTTGGACCAACTCAAGTTGCTTAACGAATTTCGGAGAACGCGGAATGCTAACGTCGTTGCTTAGCGAAACTCCAGACTTAGAATATTTCTAAGTGCTGAAATCAGCAGCAAATTCGATCTTGTGACCTCGATTTGACTTACTTCCAAGCTGATCTAGCTCTTAGTCCAAAAACAAAGTTTGTTCTACATGATATGTACTACAACTTTCATTTAATGTCCAACCTCAAAACTGGTATAGAACCTACTGTTCTACTTTGACCAAAGTAGGATCACGATGAAGCTTAAATTATCCTTTTTGATCCATTGGAGCGTTTTCTTGACATTTGCCCAACATGAACCTTTCATGACTTTTGTTGTAGAGTTCATCTAGAGTCATTTGGGCATGGTTGCAAGATTTGGTTGACGATCGAGAATTCCATTCACTTTATAAATTAATTCAAGCAAGGACATAACTCGTCATTTCATGTGACTTTTTGATTCCAAACT